GTTTTATGTGCTGCAGAACAGGAACCTGCTGTAAAACAGCAATTATGCTGAGTCAGGCTTGATTTATAATAATCTTTTCCTGTTAAATAAATAAATCAAATCAAATCAAATAAATTCCACAGTTTTGGACCTGCTATAGAAAAGGATCTGTCGCCTCTCAGTTTAAGACGAGAGTTAGGGACCTTCAGAAGCAGCTGACCAGATGGTCTAAGAGAGCACTGTGGGACAAGTGGATGCACTAGATCTGAGAGGTAAGAGGGGGCGGAGCTGTTTAGGTATTTATAGACATACAGGAGGATCTTAAATTGAATTCTGAAATGAACCGGAAGCCAGTGAAGAGATGCTAGAACAGGAGTAATATGTTTTCTTTTTCTTGTGCCAGTTAGAAATCGGGCTGCTGCATTCTGGACCCTTTGTAAGCGAGCAATGGAGGACTGGCTGATTCCATATAGCAGAGCATTACAGTTATCCAGCCTGGATGTAATGAACGCATGAATTAATGTCTCCAGATTTCTGTTTGACAGGATGGGTTTTAACTTGGACAGTCTCCTCAGCTTGAAAAAAAAAACCAGGATTTAACAATTGCATTTACATGACTGTTTAATTTCAAGTATGGATCCATTTTTACACCTAGGTTGGTGACAAGTTGTTTTTCAAACGGGGCCAGAGTGGAAAGGTTAATGCAAGTGTAATTGTTTGTGTGTTGGTTGGAAACAGAATGACTTCTGTTTTCTTCTCATTAAAGTTTAGGAAGTTTAAAGCCACCCAATCCCTGATGTCAGCCAGGCAGTCAAGAAGAGATTGGATGCAGTGTGGGCCAGCCTGTTTCAGAGGAAAGTAAATTTGACAGTTGTCCGCATAAAGATGAAATGGTATGCCATGTTTATGAAAAATTGCACCTAGTGGCAGTAAGGAAAAAAGAAGGGATCCCAGGATAGAGCCCTGTGGTACTCCCTAACGAAMTGGTGCTGATGAGAACATGAAGTCCTTGATGTTAACACAGAAGTGTCTGTCAGGTAGGACTTAAACCAACTGAGGGCTGAACCTGTGATACCCACCTCCTTCTCCAGCCTGGAAATGAGGATGTTATGATCAATGGCGTTGAAGGCTGATGTGAGGTCTAACCCCGAATTTACATTACATGCGTTACGGCTCCATTCCGCTGCGGTGCGCTGGTCGCAGCTGTGCGTTTCAAGTCCAATTTACACTACCTCCGCTCGGCTCCGGTCCGACAGATGTGCAGGAAGTAGATTGCGCGATAAATTCAGTGATAAGGGTGGAAGTCACAGCAAAATAAACAAATAAATAAATAAATAAATAAATAATTTTTTTAAAAAAAAATAAAAAAAATCTGTGAAAGACGAACTCCAAACACGGCTAAAAACAATGTTATAAAGGCTTTAGGTATCTATCTTGAAACTGTCTCGCTGTCGACTTTCTGAAACTTCTGATTTCAAAATAAAATCCATGTGTATCGTGTGTGTACACATAT